AGTGAGGTCACAGCTGCCCAGAAGGTCAAGGAATCTATTACCTCTTTCATTTAGTACAGAATCTTTACTGGCTCGGCAAGGTCTGGGTGCATTCGATTTCTTCTTTTTCATCCAGTCTTTTGTCACAGGGATGAAGTTGACACCACCTGTACGAGCATTTAGGTCACCTACTAGCATGATTTCAGAGTGACCAAGTTGCTCTCCGATAAAGTGGAGAAGAGCTTCAAGAGTATTCTCCTCAACTCCAAGACTCTTCATCCTGACTTTATAAGAGGAATTTTCGGGTGAGTCGTATATGTTTATCAGAGTGATGTTCTTTTCGGCCTTTGTGTACGTTTTCGAAATGGATACTGCTTGGATGTCTGTTGAACCTGTTTCGATTTGGGTAATGTACTTTTCGAGCGACCGTTGAACACCGATGCATAGGCCTCCTGATCTTGAGGATACCCTGTTTTTGTTAAAGCAGCGGTAGTTGGGCACCACTACTTCTCCCTTTGTTTCTTGTAGACAAAATATCGGTGACATCTCGATGATCTCACGAAACTCATCAATCTCGGTCTTGTTTCCTAGTGAGTGGTGAGATATGTTATTGATGTTCCATGACACAACTGAGAGGTCCTGATCATGGTTTTGTGCTGCGGTGTGGGATAGTTCATCAACTTTACTGCTATTGTCTCTCTGCAGTTTTCCCACAATTACGCTCCCTGTATTATTCATTATGATCGTTGCTTCGGGTGAACTCATGTAAAGTTTGCCTAGTTAGGGTTGACGTTCTATTAAGGGCATCTCGGCATCTGAGCCATAGTTTAGCTAAACCCTTGGGCGAAAGTCTCAGTGCTTCACCGTCTTTTGTAACATATCTCTCCAAGTAGCCGCTGAGGTTGTCATTACCGACTGTGCATATTCGGTCTTCATAGTAGTTCTCTTCTCTGAGCCATTTTATAAAGTCACCCATATATTGGTTGGCAGCTTGAATCTTTGTGTTGAGGTTAGGGTTACCTGGTGTTGGTATTATGAGCGAGTAACATATCTTGCAATTGGTTTCTTCTAAGGCCAATCGAAGGATACTTTTAAAGTTTCTTATGAAAGTGGGGAACGTTAGCCCCCTCTTGATGTCATTTATTCCCAAGTGAATAAAGATTATCTCAGGGTTGAAGCTTTTGATTTCGGATATGAGCTTCTGTTTTTCCACTAAGTCACTAACTGAGCTGTATTGCACTTTTTTAATATCATAACTTCTGGAGAATTTTCGCTGGTCGAAGTCTTCATGGTAAGAATCATACACTAGGAGTACTTTCTTTTTTCTTTGATACTCGTGACTTGACTTTGTGAGTGATGCTTGTTGTGGTTTATGAGTTACTTCGGGAGATGCTTCATGCAAATTCCCTTCAGCCTCGCCTGGAGGTTGGTCAATTATCGACGCCGTAGGTTCCGCATTAACCTCTAATATCTCCGAGTACAACGTGGTAGATGATGAGCACTTATGAATGGTTTCATCGTGATTTGACTCAACTTCCTTTGATATCGCCTTTTCTTTATCTCTAGTTGCGCTTAAGAGTTGTTGCAGACAATTGATGGTATCATTTTGATTTGGCTCACAAGTAGTAAAGTCGCTTAGCTGATCCATTATCATCTTTTCTTTATCTTTAACTGACTCTATAAGTTGTTGCAGGCCAAAGGTGATTCTTTCAATGTCGTCAGCAGATGGTTCCTCCATATCGGCTGTTTCATTTGCACTGTTCAGAGAATGAGGGATCATTTCTTCGGTTTGAGTTGCAATCTCGTACACAGTTGTTTCTGTCTGGGCGCAACTATCCGTCGTCGACGGACTTGTAGATAAACTGTTTCTTAGGGTTTCTGTCTGGACGCCGATATCCACTGTAAATGGACCAGTTTCTTCATGGGTTAAAATTTCATTTGTTACAGTTTCTCGTTGAGAGTCGGCATCCTGTGAGCGGCAGATGGTTGCTGTTTTAAGGGGACTATTCATTTTTAAATCTCGGCTTTTTTCTGCATCACAGTGACAAGAGCAGAGGACAGGCTTTGGAGAGATGTTAACCAAGGACTCCAACCTATCAACCGTTTGGGCTATTGAGTTAAATTTTTTCAGGGTCTCTTCAGAGCACCGTTGACTATCCGTATTTAGCGCTTTGATATTGATGAATAGGGTCTTATCATTTTCTTCCAGAAGGTGGAAGCGTTCAGCGATTTCAGTGTTGTTTTTAAGTGGGTTTTGTATTATGGCATCCATCTTCTTCGATAGTGCTGCAACCATACTTTCTTGCTTTAATAACCGATCATCTAGCTTCAGCATACAATTTTCCAGCGTTTTTAGGGGGCTTTCTACAACACTTAGTATTGTTGCGTTAATATCATGAGACTCAGGTGTTTGCTTAATTATGGTTGTCTTTATTCCCGGGCCAGGCTGTGCACAGACCGGTTCTGTACTAGTATCGTCGTCTTTGTGGTTCTGGCCCAACTTCGTCTTTCCTTTCTTCCCATGTTTCCCCTTCTTAGCATTTTTGTTTTTGACCGGGCTTTTATTGGCACCGTATAGATCAATGAACAGACCTGTGAGCTTGTTTTTTCTCTTTTCAGGCGTTCCGGCGATAGATGCACCTCGAGCGCTAAGTTCTTTCACTACTGCATCGTCTGTCAGGTATACGATCAGTTCTTTGATAACTTTCGGGTGAAGGGCATATCTATCACTTGTAACACTGTTTTGCAACGGAGAGTTACTTGATGCCACATTGCCCAGGTACTCAATGAAATACACTCGGCTCCAGTCTGCCGTTTTGTTGTAACATTTTATGTTGCACTCTTTTAGCCAACCTTTAACCACGGCCCCGTTCCTTAATCTGACAACTTCTTCGTGGGCGTTGTTTTGTAAGAATGGGGTCGGAATGGTAATGTTTGTAATCTTACTGTTATTGTCATTACTGCCAGGTAAAGAGTCAGATTGCGGAGGGTTACCAACTCCTGCTGTTTCCTGCTCTGTCTCCTTCGGCAGATTGGTCACCTCTACCTTACCCATCTTAAGTTCGTCATTGACCTGTTTCTCATTTGGGGCCACAGCAATCTCAGCAACACTTCCCTCTCCTTTATCTGTTTCTGTTTCTGTATTGACTGCGATACCAACATTTGAAGAACGTTCTTGGGCGAGATATCCATCTTCATCATCTCTGTCGTTGGGTATATTGACATCATTTTCTGAAATAGAGTCAGTTTCAGAGTGATTCATAATTCCAACTTTTTCTGTTCCAGAGTCCTCTGGTTCTTGATCGCATGAATCGTACTCACTGTCAGAGTCGGCATGATCAGGAGCTGAGAGTTTCTTCTCGTGAAAAGGTTCAGAGTCTGTCTTCTTTTCTTCATCTTCTGTTGTGACGTTCTTGCTATTTTCAGCTATCACACACTTTTTGTTGTCTTCCGCCATTGTTTCTTCTTGATGGCATGTGGTCTCCTTCCCGGCCTGATCGTCACTGGCATCATGTATTTTTCCATCTTCAACAACTACGCAATTTTGACAAGACCGTGACAAATTGCAGCCTTCATCACTGTTGCATGGAATGATAACTATGTGGTAATCAGGTATATGCATTTCAAACTTCCTTTCGGGAGCAAAACTTGGTATCATAGATGCCCGAGTTTTCGAAGATATAGTTAAGAACGACCAGTTTCTCATTTCGACATCATAGACGTTAAGTGATAAGCGGGCAGCACGTTTAGGTAGCAGGTCGAGTCCCCTGCTCCTACCGATATGCAAGATTCCAAGCGGGTAGCAATTATCATCATCTAGTTTCATTCGTTTTGCTCTGTCCGACATGCTGGTGATTTTTAGACCGTTAAAGTTCTGATTGCATGATGTTGTGCGTGACATGTGACGGTTTATTTGACCGAGCAGGTAGAGGAGAGACTTTTGTTCGATCAGGTCACGTGGATGTTCGTCCAGTGAACTGATTCGTGTTACTCGATCAACCTCCTCTCGGCAGAACGTTATGGTAACTGTCGGGTTTGAGTTGTCAATCTGCATTAGGTCAGTTGACAGAGCTCTTTCCACCGCTTTAGAAATATTGCCCATATTCAAGCGGAATGGGTTATTCGTGTTCAGTAAATCATTTTCCAAATGTATACCGGCACCGTCGGTGCCACAGTCGTGAGTGCCACTTTCCCTTATTCTAGTGCATCCAACACCTCCCTGTGAAAAGGAGAGATTATGTGAATCATTTGAGGAAATCGTAGTGGTGGTTGGTTCAGAGTTATGTCTCATCCTCGCGACTGGTGTTTCATTGAAAGCCGCGGATCTTTCGAGCGCAATCTTTTCTTTGAGTCTTCGTTTCAAAAGAGCTGTTGGGGTTGGTTTGTGGTACGGATCACGTCTGTATGAGCTCTCAGATTTGGAGCGTGACCTGCTTTTGAAATTCGTCCTCACTGGGGATGTGTAGTCCAGTTCGACATGTTTCCTCGGGGGTGTTCCTCTACTTGTTGGTACTTTCGAGGTCGGTGTCAGGTAAAGGGGGGAGGGTGAAGGACTGCCTGCAGGTTCTGATTTATCATTGTATATAAATGTGATGTTTGCGCTCATTTTAAGCTAAAATTCAAGTCTCTACGATTTTCCTAGTTCAAGTTATCAAAATTCAGTCCCATTTTTGGTTCGCTGAGCCAAAAAACAGTTTTTTGTCAATATCTATAAAAAAAAGCACTGGAGACCTTATGTTGCTTCATAACTTGTATATAAATATGGCCATTGCAGTAATTTTAAGCTAAAATAGAAGTCTCTATGACTTTCAGGAGCTGAAATACAAAAATCCCGTATACGCGACTGAGGGTAATTTAGAAAATTTGCCCTGTAGGGTTATGTCTAGCGACACAAATTGCGTACCTAAACGATTTTGGTTAAGAATGATCTAGCAAACAACCCTGTGTTGTCAGAAATCGTATACATCGAAGTGCACACTCAACTATTCCCTGCTACTAGAGTATCTGATAACCTAATAATAACCTCTCTCAGCTGCCGTTGATATGTCAAAGAAGCAAGCTAAGAAGCAGGTGAAGAATATCCAGCGATGTCTGAAGCATTTATCCGCTATAGTTGGTCACCAGTGCACCACCACCTCGGCAACAACCAAATGTGTTCTCCTTGGTAACGCAGGTCACGCTAATGGTATCGGCAGAGCTGACGTAATCTCTATTTTACACCCATATCTTGATGTGAATTCCTACAAACTTTACTTCCCGCCTGGCAAGCAATTTTCCATTCTCTTTACTGACGATCTGTGTGATTGTTTAGCAGATAAAGTGAACACTTCTCAGATTAGAGAGAATGTAGTCTACTGTGCGTTTATCAACGAGCAAATATCGTTTGAGATATCACAGGAGATCAAGCTACCGGGGTTGAAGCTTTTTCAGGATATTATTTCAGAAGAATTTGAGAAAGACCTTCTGAAACTTTTTTTAGAACATTCTGAAAACCGGTCGATGTCCCAAGATGAGCTTAAAAACCGGGTAACACTGCACTATGGTTATAAATTCGATTACAAAACAAATATGGTAGACTTGAACGCTCCTTTAGACCATCATCCGATACCCTGCTCTGTTTTAAAAGTCCTGGAAATCATTGAGCCCAATATTTCAATCAGCCCTAATCAGTTAACAGTGAATATCTATCAGCCAGGCCAAGGTATCCCCAAACACGTAGACACACACTCTATCTTCACGTCGGAAATATTGTCTGTTAGTTTAGGTTCTGATGTGGTTATGCACTTTAAAAACCCCACAACAGGTCAAGTTTTGCCGGTGTTGATCCCCAGCAGGTCTCTAACTGTCATGTCAGGAGAGTCACGGTACTTGTGGCACCACGGCATCACACCTCGTAAGAGCGATGCGTTACAAGACCTGACAGAGCGGCAACTTAGGATATCCTTAACGTTGCGAGAATGCACGGCAGAGCCTTGCAAGTGTGACTACATTTCCCAATGTGACTCCCAAAACTACGGGAAACCCGCGTATGACGTAGTGGATGGCGGTGCGCGGCTCGAGAATCAGTATGTCAGTTCAGTGTATGAGAATATCGCAGCTCATTTCTCCAGTACACGCCACTCCCCCTGGCCGGGTGTTGTTAACTTCCTCAACACTCTCCCCCCACGAGCACTTGTAGTGGACGTAGGGTGTGGGAACGGTAAGTACTTGGGGGTAAGGGAGGATGTGAGGGTTATCGGTAACGACAACAGTTACAATCTCTGCTCTATTTGCCGAGATCGTGACCACGAGGTGTTCGCTTGTAATGCCCTTGCAATACCACTGCGACCTGGCTGCTTTGATTCAGTGATCTGCATTGCTATGCTACATCACATAGCCACGCCCAGCCGCAGAGTGGCTGTTCTTCAGAATCTAGCTGACCTCCTAACCCCAGGTGGTTTGGGGTTGGTCACTGTTTGGGCTCAGGAGCAGCAACTAGATATGGACCTCCCAGAACCGTGCAGACCCTGTCCGACCGATGGGACAGAGCAGGGAGTGGGTAGGCGACACTTCGACTCTCAGGACGTTTTCGTAGACTGGAAGCTGAAGGACTCAGAGAGTAAGGGCGGTTTAGAAAGCTCCGAGAGTAAGATGTATTACAGGTATTACCACGTGTTCAGAGAAGGGGAGTTACAGGAGCTGTTTAGTGAGGTTACCAGTATTCAACTACTTGACATCACTTATCAGAAAGCGAACTGGTGTGCTGTCTTTAGGAAATTGTGAAATTATGGGGTTGTGGTGTATTATATTGAACATTTTTTTGGGATTTAGAATTTCAGATAGATTTTAGTTTCAAATGATAACTCCTGTTCAAATTTTGTTGAAATGGTTTTTAAGTTCTTGTTATTACTCGTTTATCTATAAATTCCTTGGTTGATTTTACAGCTTTGTCACTAAAATGGGAATGGAAAATATTTCTTTCGAAAGTTCCTATTTATAAGTTATAAATCTCATACACTATCTCTTTAGCAATGTCATGATTCTCCGACGAGCCCGGGCAGTTATCCAGATCACGTGCTGTCATGGACACATCCACACTACTACCTCTCATCTTGCATCACGTGACATCCACACTTCATCCTCTCATCTCGCATCACGTGACCCTAAAAAACAGTGGGAGGATTTCTCTGAGAACCTTCGGAAGAAGGGTGGTATACAAGGCTGGCTGAAGGACAAGTCAAACCAGTATCAAGACAAGGCAAACGACAATAAGAATTCTTTTAAAAAAGCTAAACAAGAGTTCCGGGAGAAGAGAAATAAGCAATCTGACGGGGGAGTGGAGGGGGACCTGCCCGGCAAGTTCCTCGCTTATTTTCCTACAACCGCTAAATTTAACAGCACCTTTGATAGGGCTCTGTCCAAGTTACCGGACGGAAAAGATCTGCTTAACCAGATACCACGAAAATACTGGCCCTATCTTCGTCTTAGCAGGGTTGACAAGCCTATTGGAGCATGGCTGCTGTTTCTACCGGGAGCTTGGGGTATATGTATGGCTCCTTTTGGAGCAATGAGTGTTCATCTTCTCTTACTGTTCGGAATAGGTAACTTATATTTATTTGTGAGATAATCTTTAAGTTTGGGTTAGGGCAGGTTCACATATTACATAATCACTTTTTCGTCAATTTTTACCCCCTCCGTAATTAGTTTTACAAATAGTTATTGTATTATGATACTATAATACCTTGGCTTTATCGTGCCCGCGCGTTCCCTCCAGCAAGCTGTCGGGAATTATCGCGCTCAGCACTCAGAAGCCAAGGTATTATAACTACTACAGGTTACACTAGTTGTATTATAATTGCACCTCTCTCTCCCCTTCAGTGATTTAACGTAATGTCTGAATGACGCTTCATGACATTTCAATTACTGAATTCGCAAAATTTTATTTTTAGATGTAATCTGTACATATTATAATAAAGGTGATATAATCTGACAGGTGCTGTGTTGATGCGTGGGGCGGGCTGTACAATAAACGACATGTACGATATAGACCTGGACAAACAAGTGATCCGGACTCGAGACCGTCCTCTTGCTAGCAGTGAACTAACCAAACAGCAGGCAACGCAGTGGTTAGCTGTCCAACTTGGAGTATCTTCTCTCATCCTCTTTTCTCTCAACACTCAGACGATAGTGCTCGGTATGTGTTCTCTACTGCTGGTCGGCACTTATCCTCTCATGAAGAGAGTCACTGACTTCCCTCAACTCTACCTGGGTCTCACCTTCAATCTGGGGGCATTGATGGGGTACAGTGCAGCCTCAGGTAACCTCGGTTTAACTCCCTTCGCTCTGTACGGAGCTGGCATATGTTGGACTATGGTGTACGACACTATATACGCGCACCAAGACAAGGTGGATGATCTGAAGGTGGGTGTTAAATCAACTGCTCTCACATTTGGGGACAGAACCATTCAGATCTGCTCTAACTTCACTACAGCAATGGGGCTGTCCCTGTTCCTTGCGGGCATGGGAGGGGGGCTGGGGCCTACTTACTTCATTGCTTCCTTCCTATCCTGCACTATGATTATGAGGGGGCTGTCTCTTGTAAACCTGGATGATCCTAAAAGCTGCTGGGAGTTTTTCATCATGAACAGAAACATTGGTCTGGTTATTCTTCTCAGTATCCTTATGGGAAAGATTTTTTGAAATTTTGTTTTGCTTCTATTCTGTTCCTGCGCAGAATATTCTCACTTTTCCAACTCTCCGCGATCCTTTTTTTTACAACGCAAGCATTCTGATTAAAAATTTCTTGTAAATCAGAAGGTTTTTGTATTTTTTGTGTTTAAAAGATTGCTCTCGAATCGTTAAAAGATGTAGCATTGTGATTTTGTATGTTTCTCCAGCTCCGAATGGTCTGAACTAGTGAACTACGCTTTATTAACGATTTATCTAGATCTTTTTGGATCGCATTTTTCATTCCATCTAAGTTATCTTTCCAATAAACACATTTTCCTTAGGTATCAGTATGACCTTAAAATACTTCGTTGACATAACGTAATACGAAGAGGAGCATGTTTTACAGAATATAACACGCAGATACCTGAATCCCTTAAACCCTGCTAAGTGCTGCTCCCACTTTCTAACCCAAGTAATGCCTCTCTCCAATAAAATACTTGTAACCATGCTTTGCATACTCCTCCCCACCTCCCTTTCCTTGAACCACACTCCAGAGAACAGAGAATACAAGGAGAAGGCTAGGGAGATGTTCCAGCACGCGTACTACGGCTACATGGAGCACGCTTACCCTGAAGACGAGCTGAAACCGCTGAGTTGTAGAGGTCACTCCACGTGGGGTAACGTCTCCCTGACTCTCATAGACTCGCTGGATAGCTTAGTGGTCCTGGGTATGCACAAGGAGTATAGAGAGGGGGTTAACAAGATCATCCACAACACTAACTTCTCCATTAATAAGAATGTAAGCGTGTTCGAGACTAACATCAGAGTAGTGGGGGGACTGTTATCTGCTCATCTGCTGATGGAGAGAGGAGGGATGGAGCTGCCTGAGGGCTGGCCCTGTGCTGGTCCCTTATTAGATCTAGCTGTCGACATTGCCAGCAGACTCCTCCCCGCCTTTAACACTCCCACAGGTCTGCCGTACGGGACTACTAACCTAATGTATGGAGTACCTAAGGGAGAGACCACGGTAACAGGGACAGCAGGGTGTGGCACCTATCTTATGGAGTTTGGCATGTTGTCCCGCTTAACAGGCGACCCAGCGTTCGAACATGCAGCGCGTCGTGCGCTCAATGTGCTCTTCAACGCAAGGTCTAAAATAAATCTTGTCGGTAATCACATAGACATTTCCAGAGGGGAATGGATATTCAGAGAAGCAGGGATCGGTGGTAACGTGGACTCCTACTACGAGTACCTCCTCAAAGGTGGACTTTTCTTTGAAGATTTTGAACTCCTCAGTCAGTTCAAAGTATTGTACAACGCAGTGCTGAAGAATTTACAGCATGATTTCTGGTATATCTGGGGTAGCATGTTCAACGGTAATCCCACCCTACCGTCCGTATCCACACTGGATGCTTTCTGGCCGAGTCTACAAATTCTAATTGGGGATATTAAGAGTGCGGCCCGGACCCTCTCTAACTTCTACTCGCTCATCTCACACTTCGGCTTCACTCCAGAGATGTTTAGCTTGCTGACCGGAAAGGTAGCACCCGGCAGTGAGATATATCCTCTTCGGCCGGAATTTGTAGAGAGTTTAGTGTATATGTACCAGGCAACTGGGGACCAGATCTGGAGGAATATGGGTAAACAGGTGCTGGACAGTATAGAGCTGAGCACCAAGACTCCGTGCGGATATGCTACTGTCAGCAATGTAGTGACTCATCAACTAGAGGATAAGATGGAGTCTTTCTTCCTATCGGAGACCACCAAATATCTATATCTCCTCTTTTCGGATGATCACTGGATATTTGATAAAGGAGTATCAGGGAAGATGAGTGTGATGCCGGATGAGGAGGGTAACTATGGTAACTATGAGGAGGGTACGCACCACTACTATACAGGCTACAAAGTGTGCGCTCCCAATAGTTTCGGTTACACCTTTACCACAGAGGCGCATCCGTTCCCTGCTGGTGTGCTAGGTTGTTGCTATCCCAGACAGAAAGTCAAGGACAATCTTCTAGAAAAGATCTACCAGAACTCCACTGATGAACCTCTAAAAAGCAGCATATTCGGGCTACCAAACAGTATCTTGAAGTTAATGTACGGAGAACCTAGATTGAAACCAGGGGAGGTTTCATCGCGCGAGTCTTATGTGTGCAGCCGAGTCCAACGTTTCCTTGTCAAAACAGTAAGGGCTAAAAAAGAGTGTTTGTTGTGGGATGAACCCTCAATTTACGGAGATGTGCGGACACACAACTGTCCTGTACGGCCGTGGTATGCCAAGTATGAGATATACGGAACTGAGTGGTCAAAATTGTCCAGTAAAAAAGCATTTAGGGTAGTAAATAAAAACAGCAAGAAATGATGCTTTGAGTTTTTGATTAATTTTAATTCGATTTCGATGACGTTTTATCATCAATCGCTGAATTTTTAGTTTTTAAACATCTTCGAAGATATACCAATTAATTGTCCTTGAATATTCTTTTGCTGGTTTATAAAATAAAAAATGCCTCATGTATTATTTGAAAAAACATTGTTATATACTTGTTGTTTCGTCAAGAAAGAGGGGGGAGGGGGGAGGGGGTCCCTGGTCTCATGAGAGCTACAATTCTAGATTCATACAAACGTGTATCCTAACATACAGTGTGTTGTTATTTTAACATGTATCCCACTAAATAGGGCCAGTATGTTGTTGATAGACACGATAGAGGAGGAGACGGAGATCCCGGATCTAGAGGATGATAGCAGTGAGGAGGAGATAGATCAGATTACCGAGGAGAAGACAGCCAAGAAGAAGTTGAAACAGAGAGTAAAGGCTCTTCCGAAGAAAAGGAAGAAAAAGCCTGAATTCTCGAGTGACTTCAACTGGGAAGAGGCTGATTTGAACATGGACGAGATCGAAGAATCGTTCGAGAAGAAAATGGCTGCTCTCTCCAGAGGTAAGATGAGACTTCAGGACAACACATCAGCTAAGTTAACTGCACTTTCTAACGAAGTGGAGATTTCAGACCATTCGGACGAGGAGAAGGAGGAAAAGCAGGAGGATATTAATCAGAACGAAAATAATACCCCTGAGCAGGAATTAGAATCTGCTAAAAATGAAAAATCAAAGTTCTTCACCGAGGCACCTGAACAAGACATGAACATAAAATTTTCCGAGATGAACCTCTCTAGGCCGATACTGAAGGGCGTGGCTGCATTGGGATTCGCCCACCCCACACCAATACAAGCCTCAGCTATACCTCTAGCCCTGCTGGGTAAGGATCTGTGCGCATGTGCAGTGACTGGATCAGGGAAGACAGCTGCTTACGTACTGCCTATACTAGAGAGGCTACTCTACAAGCCTAAATCTGGGAGTGTCACTAGAGTCCTTGTTATGGTCCCTACCAGAGAACTAGGCATGCAGGTATGTTTATTAATAACCACCCAGTTTACCTTTTTAAAGTTTACCTTCTGACTTTATTCATATTTCATCTCTATATTATTCGCAGTATGAATACTACTATAAGGAATAAAGTATTTATTTGTGTAAATCCTAAAGTTTCCAATACCTCATGATATGATCGAACTATGTGCCCAAATTTTAAGCTTTGTAAATTACATACCGCACAATGAACATCAAAACCAAGCAAACAAATTATTACGTTACTCATTAATTATACAAATTACTCGTGCATTAATTCAAATGCACGAAACTTAAACAATTTTACTATCAATTTGGTGAGAACCTCGCGAATTAGTCATAATTAAGATTTAAGGATAACCCTGGCCCTGACTTCAAGGAAAGATGAATGTTTCCATTAATTTCTGTAAACAATTATGACGGTCCATGATAATGGATGTATAATTTGATTTTAATCCTGTGTAATCCTGTGTAATCCATTACAGGTAAGTTCAGTGATCAACAAGCTAACGAGTGACATGTCCATCACACAATGTCTCTGTGTGGGGGGCACGGACATTCGGTCTCAAGAGGCTAACGTACGACAGGGTCCCGACATCATTGTGGCTACACCGGGACGTCTTATCGACCTACTGTACAACACACCCACCTTTACTCTGGATACTGTCGAGATACTGGTCATTGACGAGGCGGACCGCTGTCTGGACGAGCATTTCCAGGAGCAGATAAACGAGATTGTGAAGATGTGTAGTCCTGGAAGACAAAGCATGCTATTCTCTGCAACCATGACTGACGAGGTGAAGGAGCTGATCTCCCTGTCCCTTAACCAACCTATCAAGTTATTTGTAAACAAGAACACGGAGGTTGCTTCTGGACTCACTCAAGAGTTCATTAGAATAAGGGCTACTCAGGAAAACCACAGAATAGGAATTATCTGCGCGCTTGTGTGCAGGACTTTCAACCAGAATGTCATGGTTTTTGTACCCACTAAAAAGTTGGCGCATGAGCTCCGTATAATTTTGGGTCTCTTGAAGATAAAAGTAGACGAGTTGCATGGCAATCTGACTATGGCACAAAGAATAGAAGCTCTGACCGAGTTCAAGAACGGTAAAACTGACGTGCTGGTAGCCACTGACCTGGCGTCTCGTGGACTGGATATAGAAGGAGTGAAAACTGTAATCAACTACAACATCCCTTCAAACGTGAAGCAATACGTTCACAGAGTGGGGAGGACTGCTAGAGCTGGCAAGTTTGGGAGGTCTATCACTCTGGCTGGAGAACAAGAGCGGAAACTGATGAAGGACATCGTAAAGCAATCTAAAGATCCCGTAAAGAACAGAGTTGTACCGCCGGAAATAATCAGTAAGTACGTACAGACTTGTTTACTGTTGAAAGATACTGTCTCCCAGTTTCTGAAGCAAGAGGGCGAAGATAAGGCTATGAGGATAGCTAACATGGAATTAAACAAAGCTCAGAACATGATTAAACACGAGGATGAGATATTCAGCAGGCCCGCCCGACACTTTATGAAGACTGAAATCCCCAAAACTAAAACTCAGAAGAAGAAGAAGAAAGAGCTGCAAGGCGACGATTTTGAAATGAAGAAGGAGCGATCGTTTGTGAAGCGAGATGCGAGGAGATCTACTAGACCTCAGAGAATCAGAGCAGTGGTTGAGGAAGAGCCCAAGAAGAAAAAGGCGATAAAAAGAAAAGCTGGATTCACGGAAGAGTTGACTGCGACGAAGAAAGCTAAGAAAGGTCCATCAGAGCTGAAACCTAAAGGAGCTAAAGAGCCTTTCAGAGAAAAAAAGTTGAGAAAATCTGGGAAACCGGGCGCTGGGAGTTTCAAATCAAAACGGAAATACAAACGAAGAAAATGATTTGTTTTTTATGATAATCAGTTTTATTGTTAAAACTCAAAGTCGTGGCGCCCCACTGTGATCTGTATTCTTCACTTTTATTCCAACCATTTGACCAAGATTTTATTTTTACGGTAGCCAGGGTTTGAGTTAAATTAATTTATTATCTATTCTAGATGTAATTTTTTTGGTATGTTCGTCTGTATCACGCTCATTTCTAAACTTAATTTGGAGCCACTTACATGCTTTTTGGCCAAAATAGCCTAATCTTTAATGTTTATATCAAATGTTGGAACTAGTTAAATAAGAAACCATGTTAGGTCATAGTATTCTCACGACCTATATATTATATCCAGGAGTACCCTCGGTCAAAATCTATTATTTGCCAAAGATATCTTTCCTTCTTCGCTCCTTTGATGACGAATAATCTATCAGTATTAATGAAGAACTCCAGGGGATTATGTTTCTTTACAAGTTGTATCCAAATATGGTCAGTGCGAACATTTTGGAGTGTATAATACAAATTCTATACGAACTTCAGAAAATTCGACTCATCGCAAATTCTAAAACTGGGCGTGGCCCAAAAATGGGCATTACCGCAGATACCACATCCCGTTGAGTGCGTATCCAAAATATTGACCTGCCCTCACATTTTCAATTATAACATCAATTTCGTTTTAATCTTCGTCCCATTTCCTTGTAACTGTTATGTCAGAAATTGAACTAATGATTAAATCCGCTCAGTGTCTTATTAATTATAGTTCATATCGTGCTAACATTCACTATCCTTAACAATTCCTATTATCCTCATCACCTCAGGATGTTTCTGAATTTTGTGCTAAGAAACTCAGCTTGGCGCCGAGGATTGCTGAAACAACGCGAACTTTACTTAAGTGGTAAGAGTTATCTTAACTCAGCTCATAAACACTTCGTTTATTATATTCGGGTAGTGGACCGCTCTCTCTCTCTCAAACAAAAGGAAACGATATTCATTTGAATGACCGCAATTGAAATGCAAAATGATACCGAGAATGGAATCGGTCGCTCGCTTTTCCCATTCATTCATAGCTTACGAATTATAATAATTTTCTATATCACAGTGCTGGCAAGCATGACCGTCAGCACTGTGATTTAGCTGAAATGGCTTCGCTTGGGAGATGTTATTTTCCATAAAAAACTATATTGTTACTAATTCTCAAGCTCCTTTTGAGCCCAGATAACTTCGAAAAGGCCGCATAACCCCTCTTCTCTTCAGGAGAATCCAGGAACTACCCATTATACTGTCCTGTAATGTCCTGCGGCAATATCAAGTGTCACGACCACAGGTACATTGATAACTGGGGGGGGGGGGGGGGGGGGGGGGGGGGCAATATTAAGTGTCACGACCACAGGTACATTGATAACTGGGGGGGGTGGGGGGGGGGGCAATATCAAGTGTCACGACCACAGGTACATTGATAACTGGGGGGGGGGGGGGGGGGCAATATTAAGTGTCACGACCACAGGTACATTGATAACTGGGGGGGGGGGGGGGGGGGCAATATTAAGTGTCACGACCACAGGTACATTGATAACTGGGGGGGGGGGGGGGCACTATTAAGTGTCACGACCACAGGTACATTGATAACTGGGGGGGGGGGGGGGCACTATTAAGTGTCACGACCACAGGTACATTGATAACTGGGGGGGGGGGGGGCAATATTAAGTGTCACGACCACAGGTACATTGATAACTGGGGGGGGGGGGGGGGGGGCAATATTAAGTGTCACGACCACAGGTACATTGATAACTGGGGGGGGGGGGGGGGGCACTATTAAGTGTCACGACCACAGGTACATTGATAACTGGGGGGGGGGCACTATTAAGTGTCACGACCACAGGTACATTGATAACTGGGGGGGGGGGGGGCAATATTAAGTGTCACGACCACAGGTACATTGATAACTGGGGGGGGGGGGGGCAATATTAAGTGTCACGACCACAGGTACATTGATAACTGGGGGGGGGGGGGGGCAATATTAAGTGTCACGACCACAGGTACATTGATAACTGGGGGGGGGGGGGGGGCAATATTAAGTGTCACGACCACAGGTACATTGATAACTGGGGGGGGGGGGCAATATTAAGTGTCACGACCACAGGTACATTGATAACTGGGGGGGGGGGGGGGGGGGGGCAATATTAAGTGTCACGACCACAGGTACAATGATAACTGGGGGGGGGGGGGGGGGGCAATATTAAGTGTCACGGACCACAGGTACATTGATAACTGGGGGGGGGGGGGCAATATTAAGTGTCACGACCACAGGTACATTGATAACTGGGGGGGGGGGGCAATATTAAGTGTCACGACCCAGGTACATTGATAACTGGGGGGGGGGGGGGGGCAATATTAAGTGTCACGACCACAGGTACATTGATAACTGGGGGGGGGGGGGGGCACTATTAAGTGTCACGACCACAGGTACATTGATACTGGGGGGGGGGGGGGGGGCAATATAAGTGTCACGACCACAGGTACATGATAACAGGGGGGGGGGGGGGGGGGGGAGGGCCAATATTAAGTGTCACGACCACAGGTACATTGATAACTGGGGGGGGGGGGGGGGGCAATATTAAGTGTCACGACCACAGGTACATTGATAACTGGGGGGGGGGGGGGGGCACTATAAGTGTCACGACACGAATTGAAAGTGGTGGGGCCCACTGGGATCTTATTCTTCACTTGATACAACCATTTGACCAAGATTTTATTTTTACGGTTGCCAGGGTTTGAGTTAATATTTTTATTACTAGATGTTTTTTTTTGGTATGTGTCTGAACGCTCATTTCTAACTTAATTTGGAGCACTTACAGCTTGGCCAAATGCCTATCTTATGTTTAACATGTGGAATAGGTTATAAGGGAATCATGTTAGGTATGTATTCCACGACCTATATTATTCAGGAGTCCTCGGTCAAAATTATATTGCCAAAGTTCTTTCTTCTTCGTCTTTGTGACGAATAATCTATCGTCTTAATGAGACTCCAGGGATTAGTTCTTTACAAGTTGTATCAAAACTGGTCAGTGCGACATTTTGGAGTGTACTATAAATTTATACGAACTTCAGGAAAATTCGACATGCAATCTAAAACTGGGCGTGGCCCAAAAATGGGATACCGCAGATACCACATCGTTGAGTGGTACAAATATGACTGCTACTTTTAATATAATCAATTTCGTTTAATCTTCGTCCCATTTCCTTGTAACTGTTATGTCAGAAATTGAACTAATGATTAATCCGCTCAGTGTCTTTATTAATTATAGTTCATATCGATGGCTAACATTCACTATCCTTAACAATTCCTATTATCCTCATCACCTCAGGATGTTTCTGAATTTTGTGCTAAGAAACTCAGCTTGGCGCCGAGGATTGCTGAAACAACGCGAACTTTACTTAAGTGGTAAGAGTTATCTTAACTCAGCTCATAAACACTTCGTTTATTATATTCGGGTAGTGGACCGCTCTCTCTCTCTCAAACAAAAGGAAACGATATTCATTTGAATGACCGCAATTGAATGCAAAATGATACCGAGAATGGAATCGGTCGCTCGCTTTTCCCATTCATTCATAGCTTACGAATTATAATAATTTTCTATATCACAGTGCTGGCAAGCATGACCGTCAGCACTGTGATTTAGCTGAAATGGCTTCGCTTGGGAGATGTTATTTTCCATAAAAAACTATATTGTTACTAATTCTCAAGCTCCTTTTGAGCCCAGATAACTTCGAAAAGGCCGCATAACCCCTCTTCTCTTCAGGAGAATCCAGGAAACTACCCATTATACTGTCCTGTAATGTCCTGCGGCAATATCAAGTGTCACGACCACAGGTACATTGATAACTGGGGGGGGGGGGGGGGGGGGGGGGGGCAATATTAAGTGTCACGACCACAGGTACATTGATAACTGGGGGGGGGGGGGGGGGCAATATAAGTGTCACGACCACAGGTACATTGATAACTGGGGGGGGGGGGGGGGGCAATATTAAGTGTCACGACCACAGGTACATTGATAACTGGGGGGGGGGGGGGGGGGCAATATTAAGTGTCACGACCACAGGTACATTGATAACTGGGGGGGGGGGGGGCACTATTAAGTGTCACGACCACAGGTACATTGATAACTGGGGGGGGGGGGGGGCACTATTAAGTGTCACGACCACAGGTACATTGATAACTGGGGGGGGGGGGGGCAATATTAAGTGTCACGACCACAGGTACATTGATAACTGGGGGGGGGGGGGGGGCAATATTAAGTGTCACGACCACAGGTACATTGATAACTGGGGGGGGGGGGGGGGGCACTATTAAGTGTCACGACCACAGGTACATTGATAACTGGGGGGGGGGGGCAATATTAAGTGTCACGACCACAGGTACATTGATAACTGGGGGGGGGGGGGGCAATATTAAGTGTCACGACCACAGGTACATTGATAACTGGGGGGGGGGGGGGGCAATATTAAGTGTCACGACCACAGGTACATTGATAACTGGGGGGGGGGGGGGGCAATATTAAGTGTCACGACACAGTACATTGATAACTGGGGGGGGGGGGGGGAATATTAAGTGTCACGACCACAGGTACATTGATAACTGGGGGGGGGGGGGGGGGGGGGAGGGACAATATAAGTGTCACGACCACAGGTACATTGATAACTGGGGGGGGGCAGTCACAATAAGTGTCACGACCACAGGTACATTGATAACTGGGGGGGGGGGGGGACTCTATTAAGTGTACAGACACAGGTACATTGCTAACTGGGGGGGGGGGGCAATATTAAGTGTCACGACCACAGGTACATTGATAACTGGGGGGGGGGGGGGGGCAATATTAAGTGTCACGACCACAGGTACATTGATAACTGGGGGGGGGGGGGGGGGGGTCTCAACAATCCTACTGGAAAGAGGGAGGTCTCTACAATACTTCTGGAAAGAGGGGGCTTAACAATCCTACAACAAATATTATGTAAACTGGGCATTATCGTTCAATTTGTATTCAATATTTAAATTGTTTTGAAATTGATGACAGGGAAAGAGATGACGAGAGAGATCAGCACTCCTTCCCTCCAGACAATTTCCAAACCCGGTTCTGGAATTTACTCTGCAAAAGTACTGGCATGCTATTTACTTACTATGTTCTCATGAAGGCTACTTACACTCCTGAAGAGGTGAATACTTGTCCAAATTAGTGACTTTTAAAAATCAGTATTAAATAATCATCTCAATACATAGTGGGTCGAAGTAAAATAATCCCTCGAGATAAATCTAATTTATGAAACACGAATTTTCCTCCCCAGATGTTAGGTCACGATTGGGGAAACTATGAGTGGGACGACTGGGAGTACTATGCAGATGAACAGGCCGAGAACGACCCTTCTAAAGCTAAATTTATCAAAACTTAGGACACTTTGATCTATTGATGAAAGAGAGAGAGAGAGACTTGGTCTTGCACCGGATGACACTAAAAATTAACTTCTGGCAGTGAAACCAGTACTGGCGGTGGATGGAGATCAATGTTGTCAGCTTCTATTGGATATACTGCTAATCTTAACTGTCGATTAACTGTCTTTGCTAAATTCAATACATCATGAGTTGTGAACGCATGTGATCCGGGCCAGATGGTGCTAAATGCTTAGTGCTTACGCGTTTACTCGTTCGGTTTCTATCAGTATGTCCATAAAGTTTAATTTATTAACTATGAATGAATACGTAATTTTTTCGTAGCTGTGGATACATTGAAATAACATCAACAATTCTTCAGCAATCTCCTTGTATTATTAATCAAGTATTATTTTCTGAAATTTAGGGATCGTTCACTTATTACAGCCTCCTCCTTGGTAAACCACTCAACATGCAGCTATTGTGTAAAAAGCTTTTCCAAACTCCCTTCCTCCTACAGCAGGGTGTCATACTCATAATTATTAGCGCGTAGACAATTTTGCGTGAATTTTTGGCTTACGCATGGGTGATGGGGCCAACTTACTCTTACTTAGAACGTCCGCCAACATCGCAGATTTTCAGACCACCCTCCCCCTGTCCGGGTGTGTCCGAATTTTCAATACCACCGTCTCCCTCGCATATTATATATTCCTACTACCTTAAAACTTATTCGATTGGATGGCTACTTAAGTACTTAAAAGTAAATGTAACTGTGCTAGACACTAAATGTATTATTGTCTATTTTAAGTAACTACACATTTTATAATTAACAATGAATTTGAGTTGGTTTTATTTGTACTCTTAAAAATAGCTTAAAATAGCTGGAAATCCGGACGTCCGGGGAAGGGGGGGTGGTTTTGAAAATTCGGACACACCCGGACAGGGGGAGGGGGTCTGAAAATCTACCATTTTGGCGGACGTCCTAACTAGATGGCCCCTTATATGATGGTCCAGAATCTGCGTTCAAAATTTCAGAAGGAAACTCCTTCCTTTTTATTTGGCCCATTCATTTGTCTGCCAGAATGGGCATTGAAGGAGCTGCTGATGAGTTCATCTCAATGTTTTAACTCATCTAGCACAGTGGTCCACCATGCACTGTGTCTAGGAGCTACGTGATGTTCATGTGAGCTGAAGGATCTAGTTAGTGGGATCACTAATCCCTATTAACTGATTATGTGATCGGTACTCAGCCCCCACCCCACCCCCTCAGCTGTACTCAGCCCCACCCCACCCCCTCAGTTGTACTCAGCCCCCACCCCACCCCCTCAGCTGTACTCAGCCCCCACCCCACCCCCTCAGCTGTACTCAGCCCCACCCCACCCCTTCAGCTGTACTCAGCCCCACTCCACCCCCTCAGCCCCACCCCACCCCCTCAGCTGTACTCAGCCCCCACCCCACCCCCTCAGCTATACTCAGCCCCACCCCACCCCCTCAGCTGTACTCAGCCCCACCCCACCCCCTCAGCTGTACTCAGCCCCCCCCCCACCCCCTCAGCTGTACTCAGCCCCACCCCACCCCCTCAGCTGTACTCAGCCCCCACCCCACCCCCTCAGCTGTACTCAGCCCCACCCCACCCCCTCAGCCCCACCCCACCCCCTCAGCTGTACTCAGCCCCACCCCACCCCCTCAGCCCCACCCCACCCCCTCAGCTGTACTCAGCCCCCACCCCACCCCCTCAGCTGTACTCAGCCCCACCCCACCCCCTCAGCCCCACCCGACCCCCTCAGCTGTACTCAGCCCCCACCCCACCCCCTCAGCTGTAATCAATTAAAAGTTACGTTCTCAGTTATTGATCTTATAAGGGGTGGTCATACTCATACTCATAGGTAGATGACATATGGTCACCTTTATTATGCATCTAGAAAGTATCTATCATCTACTTTAAGTCAATCCCGACAAGAGTGTTGGTAACTTCTCCACTTTTCACCTCAGTCCTCCAGCTCTGTTGAAACAGCGGGGCTGCTCTGTTGTCTGCTGTACTTTGAGATCTCATGGTCCCCATGGTTACCCTCTTTGTTTTCTTAGGCACCTGCCGTCATCTCATAGAAATCAGGGGGATCTTCTTGTGGGAGAGTGTCAGGTGTGTGGTCACACACCTTTGAGGGCGCCAAACTCTTGTTTCCATCCGAACAGTAGAATCTGGAGGCGCAGAAGGTTTCATCGAATCATCGTTGTAGCCGTCACACACGTCCATATCATCTGAGAGAGGGATGCTGCTGCCATCGCCACAGGAGTAGTTCGCAGACAGTGTCTTGGTCGCTGGGTTCATCTCTATGTTGCTCCAGTCGATGAACTCGCAGTGATTCTCATTAGGTTGGCATTGTGTTTTACAAGCAGACTTATACGCCTGCTTCCTACTCTTAGAAAACTGTTTCAGAACAGATTTCTTCCAGGCCCAACTTGTATCTGTGAAAGTATTCAAACACTTTAACAGTCCCAGACCAGCCTGATCTGAGGTGGAACTGGAGATGAGCTGACTTCCTGCCCGCCCACACTTGTCCGCACGCTCTGTCCCACTGACAGTTCAGGTAATTCTCACAAACACACTCTGATCTAGACAGTCTGGCTGTCCATCACAGACCTGGTCCACACAACCCAGACCATCATTACAATAGAACACATCGGCACCCTGGTCACAGCCACACTCGTCATCAGCCACACTCGTCATCAGCCACACTCGTCATCAGCCACACAAATTTGAAAGACCGGTCTGAGTGGAACTGAGTACGAGAACCACCAGCTCGTTATCAAATGCTATTGAAATGGCGCTTTTATAAATTTTGGAGCCCTAATGCATGTTTCTGTGTGTTTCTGCGAGAGTAATTAGGAACTATTTAGCGACCATGTGCAGAGTAAAGTAGTACAGGAGGGGAGGGTACATACTGCATAGTCATACTATTACTAACATTACAGGCATATTAGCAGTGGCGTAACGATCAAGGGCCCCGCTGGGGGGGGGGGGGGGTGCGCCATCTTAGGGGGCGCCAAATCTTCGTTTGAATGTGAGACAATTTTGAAAAACTTAACTGCGCGTTTTGCTCTATACTAAAAACACACTTTTTTAGAGATTTTACCGGCGTATCCTCTAAAATCATCTAATTTGTCCAACTTTAGGGAGGGGCGCCAATAGGCAACGTTACGCCACTGCATATTAGTAGTATTAATATACTGACCACCATACAACTTAGTGTAGGCAAGTCATGTTACCATGGTTACCAGGCGATTAGTACAAGAATAATGCCTGTACTGATTTGCTGACCTTGTATCTGGTGTATTTCCTCTGTGTTTCCCCTGTTCAGCTTCCCAGATGGTAGACCTAGATCTGGTAAGATAGTTTCCATTTTAATTGTAATGTAATTGTTCAAGTCACCCTCTTCCTTAAAATTTATAGTTCGCTCTTACCACTCAGCTTACGTAAGATAATGGACTCAAGCAAAGCGAATTGTGTTTCTATTACTTACTACGACATCACAATCACTAGGGAGGGGGGGATACACTACACTCCAGCTCTAATCTCCCACCTCAGGTTCGAGTTAAGTTTATAGAAAGTATTACAGTGGGTACTTCAGATCACGTAGCCACTGTAACAGCGGGTACTACTGCAGTGGGCAAGAGTCATGTTGACCTTCAGACGTATATTCTCGCCTATGAGGAGATCAGCAAGATATTCGCCGTCTTAGGCTCTGTAAGTAGGGGGGTCCCCTCTGTAAGTAGGGGGGTCCCCTCTGTAAGTAGGGGGTCCCGTCTGTAAGTAGGGGGTCCCCTCTGTAAGTAGGGGGGTCCCCTCTGTAAGTAGGGGGGTCCCGTCTGTAAGTAGGGGGGTCCCCTCTGTAAGTAGGGGGGTCCCTTCTGTAAGTAGGGGGGTCCCCTCTGTAAGTAGGGGGGTCCCTTCTGTAAGTAGGGGGGTCCCCTCTGTAAGTAGGGGGGTCCCCTCTGTAAGTAGGGGGGTCCCCTCTGTAAGTAGGGGGGTCCCCTCTGTAAGTAGGGGGGTCCCGTCTGTAAGTAGGGGGGGGTCCCCTCTGTAAGTAGGGGGGTCCCGTCTGTAAGTAGGGGGTCCCCTCTGTAAGTAGGGGGTCCCCTCTGTAAGTAGGGGGGTCCCCTCTGTAAGTAGGGGGGTTCCCTCTGTAAGTAGGGGGGTCCCCTCTGTAAGTAGGGGGGTCCCCTCTGTAAGTAGGGGGGTCCCTTCTGTAAGTAGGGGGGTGCCTTCTGTAAGTAGGGGGGTCCCGTCTGTAAGTAGGGGGTCCCCTCTGTAAGTAGGGGGGGCTCTGTAAGTAGGGGGTCCCCTCTGTAAGTAGGGGGGTCCCTTCTGTAAGTAGGGGGTCCCTTCTGTAAGTAGGGGGTCCCCTCTGTAAGTAGGGGGGTCCCCTCTGTAAGTAGGGGGGTCTGTAAGTATCGGACTTTACTTAGGCTCTGTAAGTGTCGGACTTTATTTGAACGGACATTAATTGGACGCTGGAGGCCCTCGCGTTCATTTTGATATCCGTTCAAATACAGGGTGGGCCAAAAGTCAGTGTGCAAACGTTGGGTCTTATACCTCCGCTGAGTTTTATTTTGAGAGCTGTTGCTTTGCAGATGGCATACTGTACTTACTGGTTCGAGGATTCCGTCGTCAAAATTTGAAAATTCGAATATTTTAGACCACGCCCATTCAATATTAAAACACCTATATTGTTTTCTCTGAAAATCCTGAACGCCTAATTTTTTTAGAGACGGTAGATTATCAAATGTTGCATATGATCTGAAAAAATGAGGCAAAACGGATTAGAAATGACGAAGTTAACAAGCATTTTGTGTATCTCGTTAACAAATTGACTGGGTGATTATGTGACACCGTGACACGACACCTTAATTGGGCACCCTTAACAATTCCCATAATGTTTAACGGGGTAGTTAACGGGGTCACCTTATCACGTGATTAGGTAAACCAATCACCTGATCACACGTAATGAACAAGCTTGTTATGCTTCATATCTCGGTCATCTGAGAAGCTAGAACTCTCATTCTTTCAGGGCAAACGTAATTCGAATGGCCAAACACAATTCAATAACATTTAGCTTGATCCGATTATCCAAACTATCAAAAAAATGTGAAAATGAACCTCCATTTGAAAAAAATGAACGCGAATATTTTTCGAGTTGACAAATTCCTCGAACCAGTGGTGGTACTAAGTCATACCAGAAGGAAGTATTTCAATTGGGCACTCAGTGACTGAGCTATTAAGGCCAACGTTTGCACACTGACTTTTGGCCCACCCTGTAATATGCGATAAGGAAGTTAACTTAAAGTTAAATACTGATCATGAATGCCTTCGAGAGTTCATTTTAATGTCCGTTCGAAATTATGTCCGTTGACGCAATGTCCAGTCAAATGACGTCCAATAAGGTTTATGGAGTTCATATTCATCACCAAGTTTTTGAAAATGTGTGCATAGTGATGTTAGAGCTTGGTGTGCTCAAATGCTGGTTTTGGGGTTTTGGCAGGTTTTATATTTTAAAAATGCAATGTTTTAATATTATGAGGTATTATGTAATATCTATCTGCCACCCCGACATGTACATGATATGATCCTAATCTCACACCAGGTGTTTAAGTTCGTTTCAACAGATGTGGAGAGGAAGCTATCAATACTCCGTTCTAAGCAGCAACAGCAACCTCAACACTACAGCACTCTTAGCTCTATGATCAGATACGAAACTGAGACTAATTTAACTGCGAGTGATAATAATAACGGGTGTAGGACGCTTCTCAGACTGCACAGAGCCCTCGGTGTGTACAGTAGGAGACATGAGGGGGAGAGGGGGATGAGAGGAGGAGAGGAGGAGAGGAGGAGAGGAGGAGAGGAGGAGAGGAGGAGAGGAGGAGAGGAGGAGAGGAGGGGAGGAGGAGAGGAGGGGAGGAGGGTAGGAGGAGAGGAGGAGAGGAGGAGAGGAGGAGAGGAGGAGAGGAGGAGAGGAGGAGAGGAGGAGAGGAGGAGAGGAGGAGAGGAGGAGAGGAGGAGAGGAGGAGAGGAGGGGAGGAGGAGAGGAGGGAGGAGGGTAGGAGGAGAGGAGGAGAGGAGGAGAGGAGGAGGAGGAGAGGAGGAGAGGAGGAGAGGAGGAGAGGAGGAGAGGAGGAGAGGAGGAGAGGAGGAGAGGAGGAGAGGAGGAGAGGAGGAGAGGAGGAGAGGAGGGAGGAGGAGAGGAGGGAGGAGGGTAGGAGGAGAGGAGGAGAGGAGGAGAGGAGGAGAGGAGGAGAGGAGGAGAGGAGGAGAGGAGGAGAGGAGGAGAGGAGGAGAGGAGGAGAGGAAGGAGAGGAGGAGAGGAGGGGAGGAGGAGAGGAGGGAGGAGGGTAGGAGGAGAGGAGGAGAGGAGGAGAGGAGGAGAGGAGGAGAGGAGGAGAGGAGGAGAGGAGGAGAGAGGAGAGGAGGAGAGGAGGAGAGGAGGGAGGAGGGGAGGAGGGGAGGAGGAGAGGAGGAGAGGAGGAGAGGAGGGGAGGAGGGAGGAGGAGAGGAGGGGAGGCGGAGGAGGAGAGGAGGAGAGGAGGAGAGGAGGAGAGGAGGGGAGGAGGAGAGGAGGAGAGGAGGAGAGGAGGAGAGGAGGAGAGGAGGGGAGGAGGAGAGGAGGAGAGGAGGAGAGGAGGAGAGGAGGGAGGAGGGGAGGAGGAGAGGAGGAGAGGAGGAGAGGAGGAGAGGAGGAGAGGAGGGGGAGGAGGAGAGGAGGAGAGAGGAGAGGAGGAGAGGAGGAGAGGAGGGGAGGAGAGGAGGAGAGGAGGAGAGGAGAGTTGAGGGGCAGAGCTGAGAGGTAGAGGGAGGAGAAGAGGAGGAGAGGAGGAGAGGAGGAGAGGAGGAGAGGAGGAGAGGAGGAGAGGAGGAGAGGAGGAGAGGAGAAGAGGAGGAGAGGAGGAGAGGAGGAGAGTAGGAGGGGAGAGTTGAGGGGCAGAGCTGAGAGGTAGAGGGAGGAGAAGAGGAGGAGAGGAGGAGAGGAGGAGAGGAGGAGAGGAGGAGAGGAGGAGAGGAGGAGAGGAGGAGAGGAGGAGAGGAGGAGAGGAGGAGAGGAGGAGAGGAGGAGAGGAGGAGAGGAGGAGAGGAGGAGAGGAGGAGAGGAGGAGAGGAGGAGAGGAGGAGAGGAGGAGAGGAGGAGAGGAGGAGAGGAGGAGAGGAGGAGAGGAGGAGAGGAGGAGAGGAGGAGAGGAGGAGAGGAGGGGAGGAGGAGAGGAGGGGAGGAGGGTAGGAGGAGAGGAGGAGAGGAGGAGAGGAGGAGAGGAGGAGAGGAGGAGAGGAGGAGAGGAGGAGAGGAGGAGAGGAGGAGAGGAGGAGAGGAGGGAGGAGGGGAGGAGGAGAGGAGGAGAGGAGGAGAGGAGGAGAGGAGGAGAGGAGGGGAGGAGGGGAGGAGGAGAGGAGGGGAGGAGGAGAGGAGGAGAGGAGGAGAGGAGGAGAGGAGGAGAGGAGGAGAGGAGGGGAGGAGGGGAGGAGGAGAGGAGGAGAGGAGGAGAGGAGGAGAGGAGGAGAGGAGGAGAGGAGGGGAGGAGGAGAGGAGGGGAGGAGGAGAGGAGGAGAGGAGGAGAGGAGGAGTTGAGGGGAGGAGGAGAGGAGGAGAGGAGGAGAGGAGGAGAGGAGGAGAGGAGGGGAGGAGGAGAGGAGGAGAGGAGGAGAGGAGGAGAGGAGGAGAGGAGGGGAGGAGAGGAGGAGAGTTGAGGGGCAGAGCTGAGAGGTAGAGGGAGGAGAAGAGGAGGAGAGGAGGAGAGGAGGAGAGGAGGAGAGGAGGAGAGGAGGAGAGGAGGAGAGGAGGAGAGGAGAAGAGGAGGAGAGGAGGAGAGGAGGAGAGTAGGAGGGGAGAGTTGAGGGGCAGAGCTGAGAGGTAGAGGGAGGAGAAGAGGAGGAGAGGAGGAGAGGAGGAGAGGAGGAGAGGAGGAGAGGAGGAGAGGAGGAGAGGAGGAGAGGAGGAGAGGAGGAGAGGAGGAGAGGAGGAGAGGAGGAGAGGAGGAGAGGAGGAGAGGAGGAGAGGAGGAGAGGAGGAGAGGAGGAGAGGAGGAGAGGAGGAGAGGAGGAGAGGAGGGGAGGAGGGGAGGAGGGGAGGAGGAGAGGAGGAGAGGAGGAGAGGAGGAGAGGAGGAGAGGAGGAGAGGAGGAGAGGAGGAGAGGAGGAGAGGATGATTGCTGAGATTGGGGAGGGGATGAAATTCCAACTTTAAAACAGAGATAATGCCGAAAAGAATAGCATTACAATAAGCTTGCTCACTGTTCGTTTCAGAGTTCGTGGCGGAGTTCATTAACGCTCTGATAGAAAAGAAGGACAGTAGCGTATCTGGTCCTGTGTGGAATGCGTACAGGTACTCTTTTTAACATGCTACCATGGTGACTGACGGTTCAAAAAATTGAACCAAAGGTTGAATCCATAAAATTTGTTTAATGACAATGTTAAAACAAGATGACTGATTTAACTGTAAAGTTCTAATGAAAACCTCAATTTCAGTGAAACCTTGGCAAAGCACCACACATGGATTATCCGAAACACAGTATCCATGGCAATGTACACGTTACCTACGCGACAGAATATTTTACTTCAAGTTGGGAGAGAGGAGGACCCGGAATCTTTGACCCCACTCGTTAAAACCATGAGAGAGGTCTATGAGATCGTGCAAAGTGCTTACACACAATCTGCACTCTTAGACCTCAAATAATTCAGGAGCTTAATAGATTTTGTTGTGCCGCCTGTAAATAGAAACAAACTTTAGGGTCACGCCCCTTTAAAACCCATAATTTCTTAATATTGCTTATCTAGATAATTTCAAGTTGATATCGAGATAAAGTACTTACGTAAAAATTAGTAGTTTTCCTTCGTTTTCTGGTCATTTTTAGGTGTAATTCGCCCAAAACATATGATTTTCTCTAATTATTTTCAAAATATTTTCATTAGACTTCATTAGGAAATGTTTAACAAGGTCAAGCTATTAGTATTTAGCTACAATAATTGTTTAACAAGGTCAAGCTATTAGTATTTAGCTACAATAATTGTTTAACAAGGTCAAGCTATTAGTATTCAGCTCACAGCTACAATAATTGTTTAACAAGGTGTAGCTATTAGTATTCAGCTACAATAATTGTTTAACAAGGTGTAGCTATTAGTATTCAGCTACAATAATTGTTATGTTTAACAAGGTCAAGCTATTAGTATTTAGCTACAATAATTGTTTTTCAAGCACAAACAGATGTCCTTATCTTGTGTCTTAATTAGGTTTTGCAATTAAAATTTGCTTATAATTTGCTCGTTAAAAGTTATCTACTTACCTAGATACACAATGAGGTATATAATTATAAACTGCCAATCCTACCATGCATTTTAGAGACGTAAATGGGGGGGGGGGGGGGGGGCAATCGTCGTTTGAACGTGAGACAATTTTGGAAAACTTAACTGCGCGTTTTGCTCTAGAAACACACTTTTTGAGAGATTTTACCGGCGTATCCCCTAATTCTAAAATAGCCTAATTTGTTCAATTTTAGGGGAGGGGTGCCAACAGGCTACTGCACAACCATCGCCTTTAATTTTATTATACTTATATGTTATAGCTCTTGTAGGTTTATAACCTACGTAGACGCGCGCCGCGAGTTGGACTCGATCGTCGACGGAACAAATATTTCGCCCAAATTTTAAGAAAATTCTTGTAGGCGGTGCGCCATTTAATTGACGATGTCATTAATTGACGATGTCAATTCATAGCAGCTCGGCGCGGCACAGTAGCGCATCTCGCCGATCTGTCGCTGTGAGAAGCCTCATTGAGTGCGCGGCGCGGCACAGTAACGCATCGCGCTACAAGTGCGCCATCGACAGTAAGACGCGCGCGCTGACCATTGAATGGTTTTTAGCTCTTATTTCGGCCAGCACATTATTTTGGAAACAATCGAAAAGTTATAATACTTCCCATATAACAATTTCGTTGAAATTTGGTCAGCTTACGTTAACACTTATGTTCTACTGAACCTAATTTAGTTTGAGCAATTTTGTAGCGCGATGCGTTACTGTGCCGCGCCGCGCACTCAATAAGGCTTCTCACAGCGACATCGGCGAAATGCGCTACTGTGCCGCGCCGAGCTGCCATGAATTGACATCGTCAATTAAGATCAAGAGCAATTTCGATGGACAGAATTTGAGTTATCAACGAATTTATACCTGTTTTGTCATTTTTAGACCTCTTAATGAAGGCCAATCTCTCCCAACTAAATTAGGTTCGGTAGTTGAGTATGATTGGAAGGTTCTGACAAATTTTCAGCATGATTCATGTTCAGGAACCGAAGATATGACAGAATAATATGACAAAAAGCAACGAATTTCGTCAAATTACGCGACTTTTACACCTAATTTTGCTCCAAAAGCCGTGCACCATCAAATATGGCACCTAGGCGAAGCTCACTGATCATTTTAAAAAAGTATAACAAATTTGGTACTGTGAAAATTCTCACAATCTTTAGAAAACAATGGTACAAAAAATTTTAAAATCCGAGCAAGTTTATTTTTATCGTGCACCCCCTAATTTTTGCAAAAAGGCCCTTTGGTTGTGAAATTGACGGATGTTACTCGTCTAAATTTCTTCGAAGTAGCGCGCGCCGCTTTCTTTTCGATGGCAAGTGCTACGAAGTAGCGCGCGCCGGGCCAGACCATTAACAATGGTCAAGTTGTGAAATTGAATTAAATCGGTGTATTTTTTACGCTGATTCCGAATCAACCCCCATGATGTAGGGTAAAAATGCTTCCCTGGAGAGTTATGGGCAAAAACCGTTTTGGTCACGTGACAGGCTAGTCAAACATAAATTTGATTGTTTAGGGTTAGGGTTAGGGTTGTGGTAAGGGTTATGTATAGCTTCGGGGTTAGGTTACTGTTAGGGTTGGGATTTGGGTTTTGTAAAACCGTTTTGTACGGCTGCAAAACCATAAAAACCAAAATCACGTGAAATTTTTGGGCGAGCGAATTAATAAAACTAAAAGCCATTTTACCCCCTATACTGTTTTTTTTGTATCACGTTGTGACACCCACGGTCGTTTCATTAGGCCGTTCTTACGATATAGGGGGAGCCGCGCACTCGTGCGCGGCGGGTCATACAACGTATGAAAATGTTTTTCCATTAAGTCTCATGATCGGAAGTCGTTCAGCAGGTTTATAATTATTTTAAGTTAAAACATTTTAATTTAATGCGAATGTCAAAGACGACAGCAATAAGAAATAGTAATTCCATAAAACCTTACTATTAGTATTGGCTGGGGCTTAACTTCGAAAGTAAAAGAGCAATAGAGACTTTGAGGTAGAGGTAGACAATGTGCAAATTCAGAGGGGCGCCAACAGGCAACGTTACTGATTACATCCCACAATTTTGGGCATATGACTGCAAATGAATTATTATACCGAGACTTGCCATAGTGTCACGTGAGAGGGGCTGTGAATGCCCGAGATGTGCCCGAGATATGCCCCAGGTGTGCCACAGGTGTGCCCAGGTTCTTTTCCCAAGGTTTCCCAATTACCATGCCCGAATTTTGCCCGAGATGTGCCCGAGGTGTGCCTCAGGTGTGCCCCAGGTGGTTCTGCCCGAGGTTTGCCCGAGGTGTGCTTTCTGCCCGAGATGTGCCCGAGATGTGCCCCAGGTGTGCCCGAGTTTGTGCCCGAGGTGTGCCCGAGGTGTGCCCCAGATGTGCATCGGCAGATTACCGAATTGCCGAATTACCGAATTTGCTAAGCTGCAAATGGAATGACTGAAAAGTTTCCAAAACGTGGCCTGGAGACAAACTGCACGTTAAGTACCGTTACGCCACTGTTAATGTCGTTGCTGGTATGGTTATGGATAATCTTATGAAGGAGAATAAGCCGCTCCCTGCGACGCTGCAGATAAGGCTTCCACATCAATCAACAGGCAAATAAACAAATTTATAACGGAAATTTGTTTTGTGTGAACTTTATTGAGTGTGAAATTTGAATGACATCATGTAAATGTAATGTTATAAATTATTTTCTAAATCCCAAAATCTCCGACTTTTCAATTGCCCCACGTTGTGGGTCTGTCACGCACAAGTTCTCCTAATTTTAGTGTACATACTACTTATTCAAGTTCCCCCTATACTCCCTATACTACTACTAACTACTTTCTATTGGCCTCGTCTCGTCAACTTTTCAATGAACCGTTAAATCGACTGATGAAGACACATATGTGTTCCGTTGTCGTATATCTCTGAGAGCCAGCAGTGTGGAACTACAATGGTTACCATGACACCTCACTCTTGAGGGCAGGTGACCACTAGTTCCGGTAGCAGATTCTGATTTCTCTCTGGCAGACTGAGTCGTTTTTTATCCTGCAGCTTAGTATCCTGCAGCTTAGTTGCTTTCGACCCTCTTCTGACTACTTTAAGATTGTCGAAGAAGTTGGTAATGTCTTCGATAGTGTTGATACCTAATTCAAGGGATTTGCTCCTTTGTCGAGAGAGGTTGGCTGACTTTATGGGTCGTAGTGCTCTTTGGGATACCTGATCGACAAATTTTTGTCAAGTTTCAAATTTCAATGTTGAATGCAACAAATGTTTGAATTTTCTATGCTAAGAACAATCTGATGGTGGTGATAAACTCATACCTGTTACCATGACAACCTCTGTTAAGGGGGTTTACCTGTTACCATGACAACCTCTGTTAAGGGGGTTTACCTGTTACCATGACAACCTCTGTTAAGGGGGTTTACCTGTTACCATGACAACCTCTGTTAAGGGGGTTTACCTGTTACCATGACAACCTCTGTTAAGGGGGTTTACCTGTTACCATGACAACCTCTGTTAAGGGGGTTTACCTGTTACCATGACAACCTCTGTTAAGGGGGTTTACCTGTTACCATGACAACCTCTGTTAAGGGGGTTTACCTGTTACCATGACAACCTCTGTTAAGGGGGTTTACCTGTTTACCTGTTACCATGACAACCTCTGTTAAGGGGGTTTACCTGATACCATGACAACCTCTGTTAAGGGGGTTTACCTGTTACCATGACAACCTCTGTTAAGGGGGTTTACCTGTTTACCTGTTACCATGACAACCTCTGTTAAAGGGGTTTACCTGTTACCATGACAACCTCTGTTAATGGGGTTTACCTGTTACCATGACAACCTCTGTTAAGGGGGTTTACCTGTTACCATGACAATCTCTGTTAAGGGGGTTTACCTGTTACCATGACAACCTCTGTTAAGGGGGTTTACCTGTTACCATGACAACCTCTGTTAAGGGGGTTTACCTGTTACCATGACAATCTCTGTTAAGGGGGTTTACCTGTTACCATGACAACCTCTGTTAAGGGGGTTTACCTGTTACCATGACAACCTCTGTTAAGGGGGTTTACCTGTTACCATGACAACCTCTGTTAAGGGGGTTTACCTGTTACCATGACAACCTCTGTTAAGGGGGTTTACCTGTTACCATGACAATCTCTGTTAAGGGGGTTTACCTGTTACCATGACAACCTCTGTTAAGGGGGTTTACCTGTTACCATGACAACCTCTTTTAAGGGGGTTACCTGTTACCATGACAACCTCTGTTAAGGGGGTTACCTGTTACCATGACAACCTCTGTTAAGGGGGTTTACCTGTTACCATGACAACCTCTGTTAAGGGGTTTACCTGTTCCTTCCTATTAATGCTGGGTGTGGTGGCCCGTAATGGACTCCGCTGTTTATTTTCCTCTTCTGTGCTGCTCTGCCTTCTGGAATGAATTTTAGCATTAATTATTAATTATTATACTACAGTAAAACCTATAGAAATTATCAGTGCTCTAACAGTAACACAAGACTGCTGAACTACTACCAGGAACTTGATTCTTATTGTCTAACATTATACTAACGATATTTTTCCAACAGGGATGTCGGTAGGCGAGGCTGATTGCAGGGAAATGGTGGAGTTGCTGAGTCTACAGTTGATCCCACTGTCCGGGCACCAGTTGTCGAGTCTGTCAGGAGAAGCAGAGCGGCGTCTCAGGAGGTTTGATGTCTGCATCAGTCTCCTGTAATCAGGAGTAGTAGAGTGTCTCCTGTCGTCCACCCCCGTTATCAAAGCTCGTCTCTTGTCTTCTGTGGGGGAGGAGGAGTTCCTTCTCCTCTCCACTGGAGGGATGGGACTGAAGCGACCAGCGAGCTGTCTCAACCGTAAGTCTTTAAATACCTTGTCGTCCCCGCTGGCAGAGTAGGTACGTAGTCGGGGACTGTGTTCTCGTCTAGGGTAGGCTGCCTTGATAGTGGGGTCCTGATCCGTGTGTTCTCGTTTAGGGTAGGCTGCCTTGATAGTGGGGTCCTGATCCGGGGTGAAGAGGAGTCTTATGTCTGGAGCTGAGTGGACCATATCGCCCTCTTCACTACCTGGCAGTGATCTTCCTGGTGAGAAATTTGGTTACAATCATGAAATCATCTTTTGAATGTGGGAAAATTTAGAAAAACTTAACTTAAATAGTAGCCCCCCCCCCCCCCCCCGCTTCCTACAACCCTGACTACTAGTACCACTGTTAAGTAGTGTATCACATAAGCACTGAGCAGTTTTTTTCTGGATGATATTAATCATGATTTATTATTTGTAGTAAACTACAAAAATTGAAATCGTAGGCCAAAAATCTTGGGGGATCGACCCCCCCCTGGGAATTATGGCCCTGAATCAGTAAGAATTACGGCCCTAGGAATCAGTGAGAACTGACTGTGAGCAGATGTAGCCAGGGAACCATTGCTGCTGTACACTGATAGAGTGCTAGAACACTGCCGCTTCTTGTAATCATTCAGCTTGCTCTGAGAAAGTAATGTCGATACTCGATGACAAAATTCATGCACTTTCATTAATTATAAAACGAGGTCAAAAATATGTGACGTGATATCAGTCACTCAACTCTACTCAACTCTACTCAACTCTACTCAACTCTACTCAACTCTACTCAACTCTACTCAACTCTACTCAACTCTACTCAACTCTACTCAACTCTACTCAACTCTACTCAACTCTACTCAACTCTACTCAACTCTACTCAACTCTACTCAACTCTACTCAACTCTACTCAACTCTACTCAACTCTACTCAACTCTACTCAACTCTACTCAACTCTACTCAACTCTACTCAACTCTACTCAACTCTACTCAACTCTACTCAACTCTACTCAACTCTACTCAACTCTACTCAACTCTACTCAACTCTACTCAACTCTACTCAACTCTACTCAACTCTACTCAACTCTACTCAACTCTACTCAACTCTACTCAACTCTACTCAACTCTACTCAACTCTACTCAACTCTACTCAACTCTACTCAACTCTACTCAACTCTACTCAACTCTACTCAACTCTACTCAACTCTACTCAACTCTACTCAACTCTACTCAACTCTACTCAACTCTACTCAACTCTACTCAACTCTACTCAACTCTACTCAACTCTACTCAACTCTACTCAACTCTACTCAACTCTACTCTACGTACCTGTAGTTTGTTGAGATCACAGTCAATTGAACGAGAGGCGGACGATCTTCGGGAGTCCAGACTGGAGGACTGTCTGGCGTGGGCGTGTTTCAATACTGCGTTCCTCCGATAACACTGCTTGTAGGAGTTAGACATTCTCACTTCAACATATCCAGCATTAAGTTATCAACAAAGCAACCAGCAATATAATAATAACAAATGTGCTACTTCAAGATATTCAGCATTAAGTTATCAACAAATCTAAAGCAACCAGCAATATAATAATAACAAATTTGCTACTTCAATTCGAAATACAAGAATATGCTCGATCTCTGACGACAAATTGTTTTTTATTTTGATACACTTTTTGTCCACTAAAACCAACTCACACACTGAAGCATGCCTCTTGAGCTGCATACGATCTAGCTGAATAGTGGATACGTGAACAGAGAGACAAGTGAACAGCTTTTATATTCTTCATATTTTGTACTGATTGTTTGTATCATCACAATCGCAGATTCCATATTAACCGGATATCTTTATCTATCCGGATATGAGGTTGTAAGGACTAAGTTGGCACACTGCCAGTCTGAAGTGGTGGCAGCTGTTTAGAGTCAGAACACCTAACAATGACCATTATCTTGAAAACTGATCACGTGATATATGTATATCACAGTGCTGGCAAGCATGACCGTGCCTCTTATACATTTTATACTATTATACCCCTTTACTGTTTTTTTCAGGCATTAAGGCTCATTGGAAGTCGTTCAGCAGGTTTATTTTTAGTTCAAAACATTCTAATTCGATGTCAAAGACGACAGGAATAAGAAATAGTTATGTGGAGATTTTAAAAGAAATTTGCGCCAGCACTGTTATACGAAATTCGGTAAAAACCCAAAATCGCCATATTCAGGTGCCTTAAAAACCATGTTAAAATTGAGTTAGAGATCTGAAACTTTGCAGGGTGTCCAAATCGACTGCAAAAAGATTTTAAATTTTCAGGAGTATCGGGAAGTGGGTTTTCTGGAACCCCTGTTTTACAACAGATTGTCGTCAAGTACTCAAGTACCTTATCGGACCTTATTTGGACGGACATTAAATGAACGGACATTAAATGAACGGACATTAAATGAACGGACATTAAATGAACGGACATAATTATGAACGGACATTAATATGAACGCTAGAAGGCATTCAGAACCATCAAAAATCCGAATTGTTTTCTTTCTTTTTTTACCTTTTTTTATTTCAGCAAATGATTTTTAAATCCATTTTTTATACAGTAAGTAAGAAAAGCAGTCGTTAAGCAGTAAAAATGTTAAAATATGTGTACATGATCAGTGTCTAATATCACATATCATCTTCATCAAATGGGTTTTCGTGCATGAAATAGTCCATGCTTAAAGCATCAGTGGTTTCTATCTTTATGGAAACCTTTTTTATCAATATCAAACTACCCCGGTCCTGCATTTCATTGTTAACTTTTAGTTTTTACAAGCCAGTGGGCGTGAAGTGGTTTTATCTTAGACAACTTTAGGTTAACGTTAACATCACGTGGAGCTTTCCTAGCACTGTTTCATTACCTCCCCTGAGTAATATGAACTATAACAAAGTCGGACAATGTCCTTGACAACACGATTTACCGTAATATCTAGAGGCTAGAACAAGTTTGTAATGTTGGCGGGGACTAGCTCATGAACTATGTTGTTGAGTGCCATAATTTCGTTGACTTTTTCCGCCAAGTGACCCTTGAAATCATCATATACTAGTAGAGTTTTCTGTGCCCTCGGCAGACCAAGGAGAACCTTTCCGTCGTTAACTTACGGCACAGTAAAGTTCACATAGTTGTCATATTCTGGACAAAAAGTTCGAAATGGAAAAATTTTTGAAAAAATTCAACGGACTTAAACTTGGACGGAAATGAACGCTAGGGCCTCCAGCGTTCAATTAATGTCCGTCCAAATAAGGTCCGATAAAGTAATATTTTAAATGTTAAAAAGAGCAATTCGATCAAACTGCAAGTTAAAGTTATTACTGGGCCGCGCTCAGCCTGTCATTCCGCCTAATCTCTATTCGGTTTATGTTTATGAACATAATAGCCTGAGGTCCCCAGGTAATAAAGTTACAGTGTCTTCTGGTCGGGTCTACTCGCATAACGTGACGTTAAGTCAAATGGCCTTGTCAACTCACGATTTGTAACGAGTCAGCTAGATTAGTAAATTTATTGAGACGTATCAAGTCAGCTACCTACCTCTTTGTGTCAGCTGTTGAAAATAACGCAGCTAATCAGTGGACGTGACTACTGTAAATTAATCGCGATGCATGTATTATATTCGAACGAATTTTGCCAAGATCGAGTAAGACTCGGAATGAGCTGTGAATTGTTATAAAATTAAAGGATGGAAATTTAGTATAGCGTCCGCCTATGGGCATGGACTAACAGGCGCAATTCTTGTTATAATAATTCTAGTTCTACTGAACATCTAAAAGATATCCACAGCCCACACCATATTAACCACATCAACCGTGTGAAATGTGCTGACTCATTTAAGTCTTCATAAGATCAACCTACAGTAGTTCTAATCCAGCCTGATAAAGGAAGACTACTACTACAAGACTTGTGCGTGCCAATAATTTCATATTGTCAAGCAATGAGATGCTAAAGTAAAGATGAGGTAATATCTGCTATACTAGGCTAGTAATACTAC